ATCCGTCCACCCGGCGACTAACAAATGCCACAGCATAAGAGTATTCTCCATTGATTTTAGGTTCGATTGGTCGACGCCAGACCTGCAGAAGAGAATTAAAGTACTCACTTCAATAATCACAATCATATAAATAACTAAATCATAGTTACCTCAATATTTTGTTTCATAAGCAATCGTTTACCCTGTATGCCCAAAGGATCCTGATTGACAGCAATCACATCACTACATAATAATATATATATCGTTATATTATAATGGTTCATGTGCTAATAAGTCGACTAACCGATTCTGTAATATCTCCTTAATTTCTGGTCGCACCTTGGCCAAGTCATTGGACATTATTAACGGCGCCGCCAGCACTGCCCAAATGGCCATTTGCAGTTTGCTCTGATCGTAGCTGAGGCCATAGTTGCCTAAAATCAACATATCCGGATCGTTCCAATGCCCTGGTCCGGCGTGTGGCTGCATGCTATCCTGATTTTTGGCAAAGTAGTCAACGATTTCCATAACAGACTCAAATGAATCGTCGATGTCATCCCAGTTTCGCCAGAGATTGCAATGGCGCTTCAATGAGTCAAAGTGAGGCTGTTCACCAAATTCTGATTGATAGGCAGGCCTGCACATAAGCTCACTTAATAATCAAGATCATACATATGTTAATCATATTATATACCAGCTGCACGAATAGACCATGGGTCTGCCCGTTTCATTCAGGAGTCGTCCGAATTCCGGATAGCCCGTTGCCATGTCGCTAACATTGGCATAGCATCCATCCAGCTTCACATAGTCCACATCCCAATTAGCAAAGGTTTCGGCATCGAGTGCCATGTGGTCGATCACACCTGGGTAGCCAGCACAGGTCTTCGTGCCAAAGTCCTGATACAGTCCAAACTTGAGTCCTTTGGCGTGTATCTACAATTATTGTGAGACTGGTTAGACAAAGCTACAGTTGGATTGCTTTAGCATACATGATCAGCCAGAACGTTGAGACCTCTGGGAAAACGTTTGCGATCTGGTACCAGCTTGTTTGTCTTGTTATCACGATTCCACTCCAGCCAGCAATCGTCTATGATAACATATTCATAGCCCACATCAGCATAGCCTTCCGAGACAAGTAGATCCGCATGGCGTCTGAATAATTTCTCACTATAAGGAAATGAGGAAAACTTGTTTTGGATTTGAGTAATTGATTGATTAATAGATTACCTTATGCACTCATCTGGAAACGTATCACAATCGGTAATGCAACGAAAGCGCTGCCAAGACATCCAACCCATGGGTGGCCTACAATGGATTTGGATAAATATGCGTCCAAACAAATCAAATGCGACTTACGTTAAAGCCAGTCCATTATCCAGTGCGGAGCCAGCGCGGAGCAACTGCAGCAACAGCAGCAGCAGCAATGGAACGTTCCTCATGCCAAACATACTCTAGTGCAATGCAGGCAATGCGTGCTGTCCAGCCCGCAGTAACGGTTTTATAGCTGTCTATCTGTAGATAACTGTTGTTTGCCAAACTGCTTCAGCAAAGAAACAAACTTGGCTGACAAGCGATAATTGTGAACTGTAGTAATTGAAGAGCATTCGAGTACACAGCTTGAACTGCGTATTCGAGTAGTTCGCACAGCAGGGAGACACAGCCGTGAGCTGTGTTGATGTTGCGACTGGAAAGACTCCTTATCATCAGCTGCAAGTTCAGGCGCTCAAGCGTTACAGGTTATCTTTCTCTTAGCCCCTAGCTGTTACACAAGCCAACAAAACATAGGTACGCTTACCAGTGCCCTTCCACAAAGCAGAATAAATTACACGAATATGCTACACTGTAACAAAAAATCAATTACCAAAACTAAAATATTCATTACACCTAATTTTAACTACACCAATAACTCAATTTTGTCGCGCAATGTACTTTTGTGCTCGCCACATACAAATGCATAGACAAATAACTGTTTAAACCATCATGGCTGCCGGCTTCCAATGGACTCTCAAGTGCTTTTAATTAAAAAGGAAAAAATAACTGTCCAGATATTCTTGACACAAATAGTATTTATCAGACACTTCCAGATAAAGGAGAACATACTGACAAATCAAAATAAGATCCAATTAGGCGTAGCATTGCAATTTATCTAGTCGCTTATTATAGTAAAATATATTTCAATTTAGTTTTCTGTGTCCAGATTTGCGCGGGCGGTTTAATTAACGATTGAGATTTGTTATTGTTAATTACAGCTGAGCTTATTAAAAAATACCAAATCGTAAAATATGTATACAGCCACACTGTTATCGGTAAGTCGGGAAATATCCAGTGGGATTTTGAATCAACGCAACGTGAAAAAGCATTCCAGCACCAACAAACACCACAGCAGGGCAGCATAAGTACTTGGTTGTCGTACAACTGTAACATTAAGGATGTTTATGCACCGATTTGCAAAAAACGTCAAAAACATTTATTAAATTTTTAATTAAATTATTTTATTAAATATGTGGATATACTCCTGTTCCTGATCTAGATTTCAGCTGCTGCACATCTCCTCATAGCGCTGTAAATTTATAGAATCTGACGCCTAAAATTAAGAAAAAACAAAATTAAAATTCTATTCGATTTACTTGTAGAGATTTACATATATAAGTGACAACGATCACTTGTATAATAAATGGAATGAGATTATTATAAGCGAAATTTTGCCAGCGATTTGTAAAGGGCTGCACACAAAGATTTCAAGAGATTGTATAAGACAATAATAAATTGGTTTCTCTTAAGCGATGAACAAAACAGGGAAGCGATTTAGAAACGCGATCTACTTCAAGGTGTGCTGACTGTATAGTTTATATAATAAATAAAGACTCATATAAATACCGTTGGGTATAACGCGTGTTTGAAATTGACTCTCTTTACGATAGACGCCCAATTTGTTGTTCTTATCAAACAAATCCTGAAAGCAAGACGAGCTAGTAAATAAAACTTAACGTATTTAATAT